AGGCAATGCTTTTTTCCCATCAGTAGTACATTCTCCAAACACTTTAAATCCTTCATCAAGGGACTCCTCAACAAAACGTAGAAACCACATTTGCATTTCAGAGAGCAAATTTGTTCCACATTCTTGTATTATCGTCAACTTCACTGGCGAGACCTACACGTGGGAATTCAGCACACACCAATCTCATCACTTTATGTGGCGGAACCTCACCATGTCACTCCAATACCGTCAACTAAGGTGGCGAGTTAATGCCTGCAGGCCACCGACTCTGGCATACGCGTCAACTACTATGACGGGAGTGATGACCAGATCCGAGGTGGCATGCAATCACGTTAACTAATCTGACGGGACTGATCTCGTCATATGTTTTGACGCATTTGACTGCCTTAGTTTGGTTATACATTTCAAAAATACTTTGAGTTAAAGATACATTTGTAAAATATTGCTAGTATGGTCGTTTTGCCCACTAATTTAACATCAAGATTTCATGCTTGTAAGTTTTATGACAACAATTCTTACAGCAATTTATTATAATTATATATTACACTTAGTACATAATTATAATTATAATAATAAAAAAATCTCTCTCCTCAAATTTTGCCTGCTGACATGGTGGAAATTATTTTTTTACTATTATAACTATATATTTCTCGTAATACACAATTATAATAAGTTGCTGCAAGCAGAAAATAATTTCCCTTCAAAATAACACAAATATGCCTACTAAAAAATAATAACACAAATATTTGAACCAAACCAATGGCATGGGACTGAGAAGTGACGACAATGATTTTTACTTTTTTATGCTAGTATGTATCTGCCCACATCAGAAGCACCTGCCTTTTATGTCTGATTTCTACGAAAAATTGGGTCATAATGAGTTCAAAAGCATTTAAAACTTGGCTGGCGATAGTATATATATATATATATATATATATATATATATGCTCATAAAGCTACGTTAAAAATAAAGTAAATGCATTTTTGGTTCCTAACAAAAAATACGGTCCCCACTTTAATTTCTTACAAAAATAAATTAGTCAGTTAGTCCCTAACAAATTCAAAGTGGACCAATTTTAGTCTTTTTGAGGGACTAATATGGGTCTTTTTTTAATTTGTGAGGGACTACGATTTCAACTAAATGGGTCCACTTTGAATTTGTTAGGGACTAACTGACTAATTTATTTTTGTAAGGGACTAAAGTGGAGACCGTATTTTTTGTTAGGGACCAAAAAAGATATTTACTCTTAAAAAAACATCACAGGATATCCAAAAAAAAAAAAAAAACTCACAGGAATAGAATAGGTGGCTAAAACATTTTTTGCTCCTTTATAAAATAATGATTGAAATTTTTTAACAATACAATGTGAAAGGTATAGTTTCTGTTAGAAAAGAGTCTGTTTGTATGATAATACCCAAAAGAAAAAGGGAAAAAAGTTTCTGATGTTACTTTAGATAATTTTGTCTAATGTTCATCAAAACGACGTCGTTTTGAGGTTGAAAAATTAAAAAATTAGAATGATAAAGACTATTATAACCTTGAAATAAATTAAAATTACAAAAATACCATAATTTCCGTCCCAAAACGACGTCGTTTCGATGAACATTAGATAAAGTTATCTAAAGTAACTTTAGGAAAAACAATCCAAAGAAAAAAGGTCTGTCTGTGTAACATTGTTTTTCATACATGAATTGAGATCGATAAAATAATTTTTTATTAATAGTTTGTATTTCAAGAAAGATATCTGTTTTATATGGATGTATGTGTGTGTCTGATTCTTTTTTAAGGTAAATTGGTGGTTTAGTAACAATTTAAAGGAGTTAATATGAACCCATTTATTGAGTCCTACGGTTTAACATTATATATTTCAATACAAAATTCAATGTGAAATTTTTTATTACTCATACTTGAATTGTAATTAAAAAATTCCTAGGGGGTCGATTTTCATTCTTCTTAACCAAGAATAAAGAGCAATACAGTCCGTTTACTCAACCCATTGATTGGAACATAAAGAAAAATTAACTGAAATGAAACAGTAAACTTTCAGAATAACCCCAATACTAGTCTAGCTCGGTAGAAAATAATCTTAAACCACAGAATTTTTCAAAGGTTTGTCAGACACTTCATCCTTACTTCACCTTCTTCTCTTCAAGTTAGCTTTTCCCTGAAGAAGTATCTTCAATTGTTGTTATCAGAATGATGGAAGACAACTTTGTTCAGTTTCCTTCACCCTCCTCTATGTTTTCCAGTTTGAAATGTGAAATCGTTAGATTGAGGTGTAGTGCTCCCATTTTTAGAGATTGGAATATATGTTGCCTTTTATCAACTTGCGTTGCGTCAATAGAAATATAAGTATCACTCTCTATTAATAATTTTTGAAACACAACTTTAATTTAAATGAAGTATTTTATTCTGTTATGAAATTAAGAAGGTGCTTCAACGGTACTCAAAGCCCTGTTTCTGTTTGCTTCAATGATCTGGTCCATCTTGTGAAAATGGGCTTCTGTTATTAATTTCATTCCTTTAGACGACTAAATAAATAACCCATACCAATTTCGACGGTGGACCAATAATCCAACAAATAACCCACACCAATTTCAGAGGTGGACCAATACTTTATTAATATTAAATGTTTTTGCCTATTAAAAGAAGAAAGTGTTAGTTATAGGAGATAAAATTATCTCTTATACGCATATAAAGATGTATAGGTCCATGTAGAGCTATGTGAAGAGAAGAGAGAGAAAAAGAAAACATGAACCTAATATACTTTTATGTGTATAGAAGATAAAAGAGAATGTGACCTCTCATGTTAAAATTTTACATCATCTTGTCATGTGAAATTTTTGTGTTTATTTCTCTCTTCATATTCATTAAATAGGTGGGGGTTCAATTATTATCAATAAAAAAAGAGATAGACATAAATTTCATATGTCATATGAAATTTTAACATTCCCGGGATAAATTATACAATAAACCCTAGGTAGTGTTTGGTATGTGGAAATATTTTTTTTTCCTAAGAAAAGTGATAGCGGCAATCTCATACTGCCATGTTTGGTATAAAGAAATCTAAAATTATCCTGGAAAAAGTTTATTCCCAAGATTTTAAATAACACATAATCTCAACATAGAATGTCATCCAATATGTGGTATTTCAAGAATCTTGGTGGGTGGGAAAATGTTGAGTGAAAATCAGTCCAATATTCCTGAGAATATTTTGACTTACCAAATAGTTTTTTGTAACATTCCCGATAAACTCAATTTCTTAAGATATTTTCGATAATCAAAATTTTTTTAAAAAAAAAAATTCTCATCTATCAAACGCCTAAGAAACTTTTACCATTTGCTTCAAAATTTGGTACATTCCTGGGAATTGAAAACTCCCATTTCCTCTTCATTTGACGTTTCCAACCAACAAGCAGCTCCGTGACATAAATAGGTATTTGATTGAGTATTTAAATTTTTAACTTTTAGTAATTTACTGTTATCATTACATGTTTATTTTATAAATATTTTTATTAAAATTATCAAAAAAATTCAACGATAGCACATTCTAAAACAAACTCAAATTAACCCCCAAGGGTAGCTCAGTTGGCAGCTGAGCTCCCAAGGGATTGCTTGGTGCAGGGATCAAACTCTGCCTCAAGCAGTTTCTTGGAAAATCTTTGGGGGCCAGAGGATAAGTCAAAAATTCTGCAATGAGGGGCTAGCCCAAATGGGCCGTATCCCGAGGGCATGGCAATGTACCAAAAAAAAAAAACAAACAAACTCAAATTATTCTGCAAACTTAAAATTAAGTACTTGGTAAATAATCACGTCCTAAAGTTTTTTTTTAATACATAATCACGTCCTAAAGTTATTAGAAGTGAGTTAATTGAGAGAGATTTGAATAATTTATATGGACTATAGGCTCAAATTTCAATATTTTTATTGAAAAAAATCACATGCTAAATTTTATTTTTAATGAACTACTCCTTTTTTTTTCAAAAGAAAAAAACCGAAAGTATATTCATTTGTTAAATCCGTTCATTATATCTTATGAAAATTGATTGTTCTTATGCAAAATATTTTATTATCAATCAAGGCAAAATCTTATTGTGATTTCGCAATTAAGGAATTTATTTCACTGTTCAAGAAGAGTAAATATGTTTGATATTAAAATTTAATCAATAAAATGAATGTTTTGAATTCTAAAAATTACAAGCCGATAACATTATGATTCTTAACAATTTTTTCCTCGTCGTAAAAATGGTGAGAATTTGTGATTTATTTATTTTTTCAATAATGTTATCATTTACTTAATTATCAAAATATATTAATCTTAATACTTATTTATAAAATATTAATTTTGTCTTGTAATTTATGTTGTATAATAAATTGGCTGTAGTGAATTGAGGTAATCCACTTGAATTAGAATTACATGATAAGTCAATAATAACTATTTTAATCTAACCACATAAATATATAAATAAGAGATGGACGAGTTTGGAGTTTCAGATTCAACAATATTTCATAAATAAGTTACAAAATGAATATATTTTAGCATTTAGTTAAAAAATAAATAACTAAGTTGTCAAGTTCCAAAAACCTAGCTAAGCTAGTTATCTCACCTTAATCAATAGTTTCAAATTCAAGTCCTGAAAATATAGCTATATTAAAATTTGGTTTGTCGTCTATGTGGTTATACTTAACTCGAACGAGACTAGTCAATGAACCGATTAATAATATATATGTAAAAAATAAAAAATAAAAACCGGGCTAACATATGATACATCATATATACATGAAAGATGGCACTCTCATCACTTGATAACTTTTACATGAAAAAATAAATAAGGATCCGCATTTCAGGTCTGTACATATATTATACATACACAATTAAAACAATCATATATAGCAAGAAGATTGAGGGAAGAAAAGAATGATCAGGAGTTAATTTAATTCTCACTAATTTTTTTTTAAACTACAAATGTACACAAATAGGTTGAAATCACTGCTAATACTAAGAAGTTACAGTATCTTCATGTTGACATTCAATGATCTCATTCTGGCCCTCAGATAAACACAATGGAGAAGAAGCAAAAGAAGAAACAGCAGAAGAATATATGGTTGAATCAGAACAAGAGTTAGAAGCAGCTATACTAGTCAATAAATCCACAAAAGCACCCACTATAAACCCATGATTATTCTTACCATTTACCCTTAAATACCAACTTAACAATTCCTCCAAACCCTCCCAATCCTTAACTCCATGAGACTCAACCATCTCCTCCATTGATTTCCTAAAATCTTCATAAGGATCTTCTGACTCCATAGCTAGTACCACACTTTCTTTGAATGGAAAACCACTTGCCTTAGCCTTCTCCAAGATGGAGCTCGTGTCACCTGGTTCGAAAAACAGCCTCTCTGACCTCACCCCACGAACCAATATCTCCAAAGACTCTCCATCATAGTAACAATAGTCCTCTGACTCTGTTGAAAAGCTTGCAGATTCAGATGAGGCTGTGAAACAAGACTTTGGAGTTTCAATGGTGCTCTCTGTCGGGTCAAAAAATACAGAGTTAACTGTCTTGAATATGTCATCTCCAGCTCGGAAAGAAAGGGTCTTTGGGTGGCCACAAGATGGCAAAAACTGCCATGGATGCTTTCTTGTTGGTGCTTCCTTGGTTTTGAAAAGAGAAGGAAGCTTCAACGCTTTCTTTCCCATTATTGGATCTCAGATATCCTCACTCTTCTTTTCTTGTTGAGGAGTGAGTGAGTTGAATCCTAAGGATGGTTTCAATGGGATTTGTGAGCCTTTGTTTTCGTTTTGGTTGGTGCCTGTAATAAATTTAGTTGCTATGGTCGTATTTAAAGCAGTGGCTCCCAAAGGAAGCAAAAGAATATGGCAAAGAAATGGGGTCTGGTAGGTGCTTTCATGTGTGAATTTAATTTGTAGGTTTGTAAAATTAATGTTATTCAATGCCTCCATCAACAACTAAATGTAACAGCACTTTTTCAGCAGTGTCAGCCTCATATCTTCTCTAATGTAATGACAGATACTTTTTCAAAACACAACCGATATTACATTTATTACTATCATATATCTTTGTCCCCGGGAATGGGGGGACATTTTTATTTTATCTTTTTAAGAACAACAATAAAATAGTCCAAATGTCCAATATTGGACCAGGTAACTGTATGTGCTTATTTATTAGCATTTGGAATTAAACCACTTTGGTTTTACAGTTGTTGAAGGTAACTTGCCCTTAACTTTCAGTAGTGCAAATGGATTAGAGAGAGAGGTGAAATTTTAGAAAACGAAAGGAAGTTACTAGCCTTATGTTATAAAATAGTGAGGCGGTTGAAAAAGACATGTACGGTAGATTAATCGCCAATCTTTGCGGTTAAAAGAGACTATGATAATTGCAAGTAGATTTGAACTGAAGGAAAAAGAGGGTGAATTCATGTGAAGTTTTTAAAGAGGAACTGTTGCACTACGCGTGCTTGTCCTTGCCCAAAGTATTTATTAGAAAAGGAAGGTTGAGCTCTCTATTTATTAGGAACTTTGTTCTGTTTTTACCTCATACTATATATCCCCGTCAGATATAATAAATCGCCTGTCATTATACTTTCACTTTCAACACAATGTTACTTTTATTCATCTTCTAGTTTATTTATTTTTATCAAATATTAATTTTTACTATTAAAATATATTTTTCATTTTCCATATTTTGTGTTTCCTTTAATGGAATCACGTGGCTTTAATTGAAAATATTGTAAAGTTAGTGGTGCTGGTTGACCCATGTGAATGGCTAAAAGATAAAGAACTACGGTAATTCATTTTTTTATATACATTCTGAGATGTACTTGAATGTTTGTTGGCCACTAATAAAATACAAATTCCACCACTTTGTTGTAGCATAGTGCTCAATAAATTATAATAATTCTATGTACACTGTTCTTCAATTTCTGATGCAGACATCTCTCAAAGTTGACCAATACATGCACTATAAATATATTCACTGCTTTAATTCTAATCCCCCCGCCCAAAAAAAAACGTTAATGCTTACTTTTCTTTATACAGAATTGACTTAATATTAATTTACAATTTCAGTTTCTCTTGGTGCTTGAGGTGCATAGGCAGATTCAAATTCTGTATACAGAATTGACTTAATATTAATTTACAATTTCAGTATTGCCCCCTCACGCAAGAACCCTTTAGGCTAGAAGCGTGGAAATTGGTTTTACCTTTTTGTGCTTTTTTTTATTTTAATTCCACTTTTTAAAGCGGGGGACGGTACATCAAAGAATGAGAGTACTCAAGGCCTTATAAAAGCCATATTAGTTGCCCATCCAATCAATGTGGGACTATATATCTCAACAAATTCAAAGCCAAATATTTGTTACTCGAATAAAAAGGTTTAGCTTTTGTATTGTGGAATGAAATTTATGGGGGAGATGAACAGATCCTCGACCCTAAAAACCAAGTTCTGATTTAACAAAAAAAAAAAATGAAAAAAACTATGGTATCCTTTTGTATGCGAAGATCAATTTGTTTGTCTCCTAGAATACTATTGAAGACACATTGTTTGCTGGCATTAATTGTTGTAACCACTAACCACCGTTTTGATCCCATGGTCTCCATCAACCAATCAAGTTGACTCCAATTATGACATTATATATCTTCATGCTTTGCTTGTGAGTTGGGACCTCTTGCCCAAAACTTCACCCTTATCATAGAGAAATTTCATGCGATGCTTCTGTTTTTTTCTGTGAGCACAAATGCATGTACATTGTTGATCCATGTGATTATGAGTACTAATATTATATAATAGTTTTTAGTTGTACATAAAAGTAACACTTAGCAAACTTGAGAATGAAGTTAGTAGAGGTCCCCGTGGCATTTCTTATCGTATAAAGCGGTGAAGCTCTTAAAGAGAGACAAGCCAGAGAATAATTGTAACCTCGTGAAATATAAGAGGAATGATAACTACATTATCCTAAAATTGGTAAATCAAGTAGTACTTTGGTAGCGATTGTACCCAACGGATGCCTTCTACTTGAGGAGAAAACTTCACTTAATTATATTGAATATTCGTGACTATTCAAGATCTTGTTTTCACTGAATGGTTTTGCTAGATCTCAACGAGTCTACATGGAAAGTTTTTCATAATGTTTAGTTGTCCCATTCGTATGATAAATTTATGGATGATAAGAATTTGCATATTGTATTGAAAGATTCCTTCTAGTTTCGAGCTACAAGGTTGATGATGATTGATTTTGTTTGATCCAAGAGGCTCAAATGTTGTTATTGGATTTGGGGTTTTGTGGTGGCCATGGAGGAGACAATTGTCAATGGAGTCATTGTGCACTGGAAAGAGATAGTAAGCTAAAAGGGGTAGGGGTGTGATATGTGCACAATGACAACGAAATAGAATTTGGATTCAAAAGTTCTATTTGCGAAACTTAACTTTGTATTTATAATAGGGTTTTACCTACATACTAATGGACTGGAATCATTTATACTATTGAAAGAGGCCCATTATATTTATCCAAAACAGATTTTATTCCATGCAGATTTGAAACTTAATATTCTTGTTTCCTATCCAATTTATTAGTTGATGAAATGTGGATATAATTTAATTTCTATAATAATGTCTTTAAAATATATTTTTTAGTAGTAGAACATCCTTAGAAGTGATCTTTGTGCTGGAGTCTTCGGATCATTCTGTCTTCCGAATCTTGGGCTTCTCAAGAGGAAAATAGTTGGAAGTGAACTGTTATGTCTCCCAACCACGTTTGTAGGCCTTGGCCATGCTCCATGGATGCACATGCTACTTTCAACTCTATGATTGTTCCCCAACCTCTTCAGAAAGTGTAATTTATTAAGATTTTGTGGTACAATGCCAATCACTAAATGCTTTTTTTCTTTCTTCTTCTTTTTCTTCCCTTTTCCTTGTTACTTCTTTATTGGCAGCTCGCACGTTAGATATTAAAGTCAAGAGTACTTCTTAGAAAATTGGCATCCAAGACAAGCATTTTATTTGCAAGCTCTACTTCCGACAAAAATATTGTTAAGAATTCTGACAAGTGCAAATCAACTCACGCCTAGAAGGGTATTCCCTTATTGTTATTATTATTATTATGGGTTTCGTACTACTCTTAAATTAAATTAGATACAATCTTCCTTTTGCGTTTTTCTTTATATATCCTTTACAAGCTTGGGAGTTGGGAGTACTTCGGCTGACAAATCAAAAATTGTTTATCCACTTCATCGTCCATTCTAACTTAAGTTTTCTTTTTCTTTATTTTTTTACTTAGGTTTATTTTCTCTTGAACAAAACTCAGAATATTTTTCTGGGTTTTCTCCTAGATAATATTAATTAAACTTCTTATGAATAGTTTATTGTGAAAAGGATGGTTTTATATGTGTACATGCCGCATGTAAAAAATGTATCTTTAACCCCAGGGTAGTTCATTTGGTAACTGAGCTTCCAAGGATTTGTTCGGGTCAGAATTCTTGGAAAATCTTTGGGAGTCAAAGGAAATGTCTCTTTTCTCGAATGAGAGATTAGTTTCATCCTTCTTCCGGTAGCGAAGCGTAATACACATGTTGTTCTAATGAGAGATAGTCTTCCGACCGTAATCCGAAGATAAAGTGACCGGAGAAGGTTGAATGAGGATACCTTCAGGTTATATAAAAAAAAAATGTACCTTTCACATAGCACCTTGCATTTATAAGATAAAAAATGTGTTTATCAAAAAAAAAATATACAAAATGTTAATAGGGTAATTGGCAAACTTGGTTTGTAGAACCCAATCTGTAATGCATTGGTGACTAACGAAACGGTTTGGGCCGAGTTAGCTTACATTATTACAAATGAGTCACAATAAATGATTAAATGTTCACTCGAATCTGATTCCCAGATTAGCAAGTTGGTCCACAAACCCGTTTATCTTTTTTTTTGGATTTTTTAAATTATTCCGAGGTTTATGTGGGTTAATAATAGAATGTAAACTTACTAAAAAAATAATAGAATGTAAGCTCTTTTAAACATAAGTTTATGAGCCCATTCTCATTTATTTATTTTTTTGGTGAACTGAGCCCATTCTCTTTAACCAGCAGGTTAAACAGGTTTTGACCAACTAATCAACTAAATATTTATTTTTTTTAAAATATTTTAACCCTTTTTTTACTAGTTTTGATACTTAATGACAATAGTGAGGAAAATGTCTTAAACCTAAATAACTTTAATGGCTCAAATATCGAAATAGAATTCAAAACTCGAACTAATTTATTTTAAAAAAAAAATCGTAAAAAATAAAAACAAAGATAAAATAATAAACATGTTGGCAGGATAATGAGTTGGCCCCATGCTAAAATTTTTAACAACTCATCTAAGTTGTGAACCAATCCGATCCAACTCCGTTAAGGTTGAATTGGGCTAGCTCATTAGTTATATTTTTTTATCTACAATATGAGATAAATTTATCTGCAATAATTTTAAAGCGAAGTCATTTTGGGAATTTGAAAAAAAAATAGGATATCTTTATAATTTTACTTTCTTATTGTATAATATATTTTTATTAAAATATTCTACAATTTGTTCCCAAACCCCAATAATGATATCGTTTTAGAGTTGCAATTATAAGAGATAAAAGTATCTCATACACACATATAAAAGTGTGTGGGATCCATGAGGGGCTATGTGAGGAGAAAAGAGA